GGCCGCCACCGCCCTAGCGTGGCGTCTCAACCTCGGCGGTGAGAAGGTCACAGTGGTGAGGTGGGGACCCGCCTGGCAAGCTGCCTTCCAGAGCGCGGCGTCGTGGCTGAGGTCTTTCGCACCCGCAGGGGCCGCCGAGCCCGAGGGCAGAGATGACCTGCACTGCCTCCTGCAGGCCTTGCACGCCTATAAGCGCCTGTTTCAGACAGGCGGCGCCGAGCCGATCGACGAAGCCTCGTGGTTGCATCCTTACGTGGCCGCCGTCGAGCCCGAGGCTATCCCCGCGGGCGCTGACCTCCAAGCCATGGGGGCGGGCGCCATCCGTGGCATCGGGCTCGGCTCAAAGATCGAGCACAGGAGGCGCGCGGGCAAGTTGGCCTGCCTTTTCGACCTTCTGTACCACGTGCAGGACGGTCACGGCGCCATCCCAGCAGCGCTGTGGGGATCTCATTCCCCTCCGTCCGAGATCCTCGACGCGTTCGCGGAGGTGGTGCCCGTTCCACATCATTCGGGCCTCACGTCCTCGGCAGCTCGTTCCGAGCTCGCCGAATCGGCCGCAGCTGCGCGCGCCGAGCCGCGCCCGCCCTTTGACTGGGCGACCCTCGAGGGAGGGGGCGCTCTGCCCGCCGAGATCGAAGCAGGGGCTCGCCGTGCTCACCGTAACATGGGCGGATCCTTCACCTCGGCGCGGGCGATGCTGGCGGAGGCGTCGGGGTTCGAGACCGACGGGCGGGACACCCTCGTTCCGCCCTTCTACGCGTCCAGGAGCAGGAGGGCCGCCACGCTGATCAGCTCTCCCAGCCCTGGCCGCCCTGCGCTCATCCTGTGGTGCGTCTGCGGCCTCTGCATCTCTCTGGGAGCCGCGGCGCCGACCGCAGGCCAAGGGCTTAGTCGGGCTGCGCCTTCCGCGCCCGCTCGCCCTCCGCGCACTCCCTTCGTGCGCGATTCTCACCTCACCTCCGCGTATCTCGATCGTCGCTCGAGATCGATTGATGCGTTCGAACTGTGGTTAGCAGAACACACTGGCGTGCCGCCCGCCACTCTTTACCGTAGCGGGATACTTCTCGCCCGCTTCCTCGCGACCTTCGGCGTGTGGCTTCATGATGCAGGTTTCCCTCATTATATTCTGGTTCATGCCATCTTGGGAATCCAGAGCGCTCATCCGCATTGGAAGGCCTTTCTAACAGAAGCTTGGGACGTAGCGAAACAATGGAAGCTCGCGGAGCCGCCAAAGCTCCGCCCGCCCTTACCTCGCGCTCTGCTGCGCGCTATGGTCGGTCTCTGTTTCGCCTGGGACTGGCCTGTGATGGCGGCCTTGCTGCTCATGGGCTTTACGATGTTCCTCAGGCCTGGCGAGCTGCTGGCGTCACGCCGCTGTGACTTGTCGCTTCCTTGCGACCGCCTCGAAGTTGAAGGGGATGCTTTTCTTTCGATTCTTGTTCCAAAGACCAGGAGAACGTACCCGACGCAGCATGCTCGCTGCTCCGATCGGGGCACGGTGAAGATTCTGAATCAAGTGTTTGGGCGGTTGGCTTCCACCGATCCTCTCGCCCCTTTCGGTGCGAGCGGCTTCCGTACTCGGTGGAATCATTTGCTTTCGGCCCTGGGCGTCCCTCTTGCCAAAGCGGGTCAGGGGCTCAACCTGACGCCCGCATGTCTGCGGGGCTCTGGCGCAACAGACTTCTATATCGCTACGGAAGACGTCCCTCGCGTCTTCTGGCGGGGGCGTTGGCGTCAGGCTTCCAGTGCTGAGCGCTACCTGCAAGCCGCCGCCGCTTCCACAGTTCTTGCTGCGCTGCCCGTGCCCGCACGGGCGCGGATCCTGTTCTTCGCCACCGCCAGCGACCGCCTTGTCGCTTCATTTCTCCAAGTCGGCCCCGCCGCTTGGCCTGCCCTACTTGCGGCCGCCCGCCGAAACCTTGTCACTTCGCAAGGTCCTTGAGCACGGGTATGGCTGCCTCGCCGTCGTCGGCGAGCAGGCGGTCTCCCCCGCCTGACGCGCGGCGCCCCGGCACGAGCGCGCGGGACGGGCCTGCCCATTTTGGGCCGCCCCGCGCGCGCGAGCCGCGGCCGCGCTCGGAGACAGCTCGCTAGCGCGCGAGCGGGAGAATGCCTCTTCTATTCTCTGTGAGCAAGCTCCTGCTGTCTCCGCAGCTTCTCTGCCCCCCTCCCTCCTCTCCCAATCTAAGGCTGATGGGCGCTGCCTCGCCGTCGTCGGCGAGCAGGCGGTCTCCCCCGCCTGACGCGCGGCGCCCCGGCACGAGCGCGCGGGACGGGCCTGCCCATTTTGGGCCGCCCCGCGCGCGCGAGCCGCGGCCGCGCTCGGAGACAGCTCGCTAGCGCGCGAGCGGGAGAATCCTTCTCCTCCTCCTCGTCCTCCTCCTCCTCCTCCTCCTCCTCGTCCTCCTCCTCGTCCTCCTCCTCCTCCACCTCCTCCACCTCCTCCTCCTCCTCGTCCTCCTCGTCCTCCTCCTCCACCTCCTCCTCCACCTCCTCCACCTCCTCCTCCTCCTCCTCGTCCTCCTCCTCCTCCTCTTCCTCCTCCTCCTCCACCACCTCGTCCTCGTCCTCGTCCTCCTCCTCGTCCTCCGCCTCATCCTCCCCCCCTCCAACTTTGGTGGTGGTGGTGGTGGTGGTGGTGGTGGTGGTGGTGGTGGTGGTGGAAAACAGGCCCATCACCCGCTGCCGGCCGCGTGCCTCCCACCGTCTGAGGCGTTCCAGGAGGGGCCTCGACGTCGAGGGTCGAAGGAGTGGTCCCCTCTTCCTCGACGGGAGGCGGCGGCGGGTCGGCAGAGGGCCGCGGAGGCAGCACGAGGCCGCCGAAAATTGCGCCAGCGGAAGCAGGCGGAAGGCCGGCGGCAGGGTGCGGCAGGACCCCGGGTAAGGGGACCCGGTTAGTGGTAGGGCCCTGGGGCTCCTCAATTGGCCAGATTCACTAAACCAGGTTTGCCGTAACTGGTGTTTTCCGGGTGACGGCAGTTCCGGTCAGTGGAAATGGGGCGGGGGAGCACCCCCGGTACAATCACTCAACCAGGTTCCACTAAACCCGGTTCTGCCAACGCCCGAACTGGAGCATATACATGACCAGTGGCGGGATGTGTTTCAATCCCAGGTCTTTTTGAGGGTCGGGAGCGACTTCGGGGTGGCGTGGTGCATACCTTGTCCGCCCTTTTCCAGGAAACAACGAAGCATGTATACACCAGGATCCCGTATGCACCAGGATCCGCTTCCTTGTGCAGATTCCGGTGCAGGGCTGCACAAAAAGCGTCGGTGTATAGAGTTCGGTTCCTTATAAAAAGCGGCTCCCAAGAGATGGCAACCTTCTTGGGTTCAGGGTTTCCAGAACCGGCCATTTGCTGGATGGATCTCTCAAGCGTTCCGCCGCCTCCATGGGAGCAGGAGCACGGCAAAGTTACAGGGAAGCGTGGCATTGGCAGTGCAGCTCCGCGCACGTGTTAAATGCTCTGGCGAGCAAGAACGCAGCAAAGCCCCGGGCCGCAAGCCATTGCAGTGTAGCTCAGTATCAATACAGTGGCCGGGTATTTCCCGCTGATATAACTCCTGGGAGAGTTATATATCTACAATCAGCGCTGACATTCAGAGGGGCAGCGGGTCATGATAGTGATACGTTCCAAGATGTTTTAAGGTTTTCAGGAGTTCCTAGATATGTCCCACTATGGTCACTAGGGCTCCAGAAACGATGGCTGCGATGCACCCTGGAAAAACTGGAACGTCTTCTGAGCCGATCCTATCTTGGCATCATTCTGGTCCTAGGTACAGCCCTTGCCGAAAGCTGGCCGCATCTCGCTCAATCTGACTTAATCCCGCCAGATCCGGCGTCATTCCGCTGATTTCCTGACTTAGTCACAGACCTAATCCGGTCTAGTCCGGCTCAATGGTCTTTCAATCGGGCTCAATTTCCATAAGTTGGTCTGAAGAAGACCTCCCAGGAGTTGCCTCCTACTTCTTGTGGAAACGCAAGATGTGCGTTCACTGGAAATTGGATCTGCCGACGCTTTTTGCTCGGAGGAGGGCGAGTGAGACATCGGCAGTTGACCCGTTAGGATCCTGGGAGGGGTCAAGGAAACGATTCTCAGCTGCTGTTGCCTCACCTGGCCCTGCTCCGATTCGGGGAAACGCAAGACGCGAGTTCGCTGGAGATCGTACTTGCCGACGTGAGTTTTGACAGTCCAGTCTGATGTGTTTGCAGCGGGAGTTCGCGTCAACTATCAGACTGGGTCTTGCCAGTTTTTGTTGATGGTTTCGTTACGTCAGTTCAAGTCTCCCTATCTCGAATCTTACGGCTCCCCGACTCGTGTTTTCTCCCATCTCCATACTTCTTCCGAGGCGGCGGGGATTTGTCCATAATCAGCGCCCTTCGGGTCTGGGAGGGGCACACACACATATATGGTAGATTTAACATCGTGAAGCGAGGAGGGGAGCGGGCAGGCGGCCGCACCGCGTTCTGCGCGGCCGTACTGCTCAAGCTCCGAGGCCCCAGGGGCTTCCGAGCGGAGGGGGCGGGCCGTGGATGGACCCCGGTGGCCTCATCCTCCGCGAGGCGACGCGGGGGTTCGCCGCTGGCGCGGCGGCCTGGGGCGCCGCCTGGGGCTCGCAGTGCCCAGCGTGCCCCGCCCCGCCGCCGTGCCCGCACTGCACCTGCACCTGCGAGCCGCGGCTGGCGTGCCCAGGCGGCTCAGTGTCGGAGGCCCCGCGGCCCGAGCTGCTGGGTGCTGGCCTTGCGTGGCTGGCCAGCCTGGCCGCGGTGGGCGCCGCTGGCTGGGCCTCGGGCAGGCGGGCCGCTCCCGCGACATCGGGGGCCCCTGCGTCGGCGGACGCCCCCACGCGGCCGCCCACGGCGGCCTTGGAGGCGCCTGCCTCATAAGCGCAGCTGGCGGCGGCCCAGGTGGCAGCTCTGCGGGCCTCGAGGCCCCAGCTGACCCGCTAGCATGGCAGCTGCGGCCGCTGCACGGCATCCGATCGCCGCCCTGGGCCTGCAGGAAGGGGATTTCATCCTGGTCGAGTACGTTGGGTACGCCAACGTGTGGCACGAGCGCTTGGTGGTGCTCGCGCCCGACGGCTCGAGCCTGGCGTGCACCCTCACGCCGGACGACGACAGCTACGAGGAGGACCTCTTCGCCGTCGCTGAAGTGCGGCGCTGGCTGCCGTGCGAGGGCGGACGCATGGGAGCGTACCCTCCAGCGGCTGCTGGGATGCACGTGCACGGCTTCAGGGGCGTCCCCGCGCCCGCGCGGGTCGCGCAGGTGCTGGCCGCGGGAGCTGCAAGGATGGGAGTCGCCCTCGGCGCTGAGGACACGGTGGTGCCCAACCTGGTCGGCGCGGCAGGCGGGGCCCGCCCTCGGCCTGGCGCCGCTGGCATCGCGCCGGCCGGAGGCGCAGCGGCAGCGGCGCTCGCCGCTGGTGGCGTGGGGCCGCCCGCTGGATTGCTGGTGGCCGCCCCCCCCGCGGCGCCCGCCGCCGGGTTCGGGGGACCCGCCGTGGCGGCTGGGGTGGCTGGCCTGGCCGCCGCGCTCGCTGACGGCCCAGCGGCGCCCGGGGCAGGCGCCCCAGCGCTGGCAGGCCCCCCGCCGCCGCTGGTAGCGGCGCCCGCGGCTGCAGGGCCAGCTGCCGCCGAAGGCGGCCGTGGGGCCGCGGCGGCCGCGGCCGCGCCCGTGGATGCTCGCATCCAGCCCGTCACGTACGACTTGCAGGGCCAGCGGCACGCGGACTACCGCAGCGCGGTCATGGGCATGACCGAGGGCGCATTCCCCGATTGGCCAGTCAGGGGGCCGCGGACGGCGCTGTGGGTCCTCAAGTTCATGGAGGCTCACGGCGGCACTCCAACGGGCCGCCACTCGCGCTGGCTCTCGGAGACGCGCTTGCAGGGCACCGAGCCTGGCGTCGACGAGCACGAGCGGGCGTGCAGGACCCTCGAGCGCATGGTGATCTACGACCAGCTGAATGTGGCGAATCTCGCCTCGGGCGAGATGCTGGCCAGGTCGGTGCAACTCCAGGAGGAGCGCTACAGGGACCGCGTCGCCCCGGCAGCCGACTCAGGCAGCCTCGACGCACACGTGTTGCTCGGTACTGACCAGCTGCGCGGGAACGTGTGCGTCGCGCCGATGCTGCAGGACCACATCAAGGACGAACTCACGAAGATGAATGCTTACAGGAAGGAGCAGCGCAAAGCCAGAGAGGAGCGCGACTTGGCCCGCAAGAAGAAGGGGACCAGGGGCGACAAGGGCTCTGGCAAGGATGACAAGTAGCCTCGGAGCGGGGAGTGGAGTTGGGCGCCCGCTCCCGCCATTCAGCCCATCGGGCCCTGACGCCTCGGCTGACGGGCCACCTCTGCCCTCGCGCCGTGCGGAGCCAGGAGGGCGCCAGCGGGACATCTTCCCCCTGCCTTTCTTGGGCCGCCCACGCAAGGGCTCCCGTTTTGTGCGCAGCCGCCGCGGGCACCGTCAACCTTCTGATGATGCTCCTTGGCAGGACTGGGCCAACGACGCCATCGACGTCATGAACGCTGTGTGTGCCCCTGAGGCCCAGCCGTCAGCCCTCGGAGTTTCTGAAGGCCAGCGGGCGTCTCTCGCGCACATCCAGTCCACCTTCGCCTGCCTCGAGCCGCTGGCTGAGGGCGAGGGCTTTCCCGAAGGAGCGCTTTCGGATCTACTCTCTGGCTCCCCGCTGTGCGCCACGGGGGGGCCTCGCCGACCCTGCTCGCGGGACCTGATCTCGTGGCCCGACGTCGGCGACGACCCCGTGCCTCTCACCAAGGTCGTTGCTGGCCCGGACGCTCAGTGGCTTAGGGCATGGAGCTCGAGCATGCTGCGTGGTCGCGAGGAGGCGGACGCCCTCCTGCAGCAGGTATGCCCTCGCGGGCCGTATGTCGACCCCAACCTTGCCTTTCCTCCGGCGACGGTCGCCGACTTCCTTGCTGAGATGTTGAAGCGGAAGATGATTTGCTTCCAGGCGGAGGACCCTCGTATCAAGCCGATTGGAGTCTTCTGCGTGGCAAAGAAGAGCAACCGTCTGAGGCTGATCTTTGATACTCGCACTGCGAATGCGTACTTCACGGACCCCCCAGCCACCACGCTGCCGAGTGCTGCCGCCTTCTCGAACCTGGAGGCGCCAGGTGGCAGGGTGGTCGTCGCGGCAGGAGACATCGACAATGCCTTCTACCGGCTGCTGATGCCCGAGGGCTTGTGCCGCTACTTCAGGCTTCCGCCGATCGACAGGCGGCACCTGGAGGCCCGCGGTATCACGGGGCTCCCCGACGCCGCCAGGGTGCAGGCTTGCCTGGTCGTGCTGCCGATGGGCTTCTCCTGGGCGCTGCACCTCTGCCAGCTGGCGCTGCGGACCGCGGTCTCGCGGGCTGGCGCGCCAGGCCACCTCATCATCGAGGACGGCCTCCCCGGCGTCGTCGTGGAGCCGCAGGGCCAGGCCGCCGTCGCAGGGTACGTGGACAACTACCTGGCCGTCAGCAGCGACGAGTCGGAGGCCGATCGAGCCCTGGATCGCATCGCCGCGGAGCTGGAGGGCGCTGGCGTGAGAGTCCACGAGCCTGAGCGGGCTTCGGACACCTGCAGCTTCTTGGGGGTGGAGCTGCGGCAGGGCCGCTGGCTGGCTATCAAGGGGCGCTCCGTCTGGAGGTTGAAGCTCGCCATCGAGGAGCTGCTTAGGCGCGGTCGCTCTTCTGGGCATCTCGTGCGCGTGCTGGTTGGCCACCTGACCTGGGCCTCGATGGTGAGGCGCGAGGCGCTGGGGCTCCTCAACTCGACGTACGCCTTCATGATAGCGTCCGGCGCGGAGGTGCAGACGCTCTGGCCTTCCGTGCGGACTGAGCTGTGGCGCGCCCGCTGCCTGCTGCCGCTCCTTGTGGCGGACCTCGCCGCGCCCTGGGCGACGAGGCTAGTCGCCAGTGACGCCAGCGAGGAGGGGCTGGGCGTTTGCCGACGGCAGGCCTCAGGCGACCTCATCGCCCGCTGCGGCCGTCTATGCGAGCGGTGGCGGTACCGAGTGGAGGGTGGGGCGCGTGCCAGGGATAGAGCTCTTCTCTCTCCTGCTGCGACCCGCTCGCCCCAGTCGTCGTCTTTTGCCGCCGGCCCCTTCGAGCCTGCAGATAGGGAGGTCGTGTTTGGTCACAGTCAGTTGGATCTCGACTCGGCTTCGCCTGGCACGCTGGACCCCGACGAGCTTCCCGAGGGCCCCGACATGGAGCTCCACAGCGATGCCCCCTTGATCTTGGATCTCGGGAATAAGTTCAAGGAGTTCGACGAGGTGCCCGCGGGTCTCTTGGATGCCAAGTCTTGGAGGGGCGTAGTCGCTACGAGGGTCCAGGCGGGCCAGAACATCTTGGGGTTGGAGGCCGACGCCTTGGTAGTTGCCTACAAGCACCTCCTGAGATCCTCAGCCTGCCGTGGTAAACGGGTTCTGGCACTGGTCGACAATATGCCGTTGTGTCTGGCTGTGGCGAAGGGGGGAGCGGCCTCAGCATACCTACATCTTCCATTGCTAAAAAATTGTATGATGCCACTTGCTACGGGAACGAGATTGCACTGCAGGTGGATTCCGTCAGAACGCAATCCTGCCGACGCTCTGTCTCGAGGGCGTCGCACCTGGTTTTCGGACTCCGACGCCCGCGCAGGGCTGCCTCCTGCGCATGGCGGCGCGGCGGCGCCAAGCGGCTGCGCGGCCGCGGGCCCTGCGCCGGCCCGCGCGGAGGCCCCCGCCATCGGCCTTGGAGGCCCGCGGCCGCCGCGCCGCCCTGGCGGGTCGCCTGGCGGCCGAGCGGCCGCCGATGGGGGAGCTCAGCGCCCTGGAGACCTTGGCGGTGCGGGCCAGCACGGAGGAGCAGCACCGCAGGGTCCTGAGGGAGTTCGCGGCCTTCTGCTCCGAGAGCCGCCTGGACTGGAGGGACTTCGACCAGCTCGACCTGGCGGCCACCCGCTTCATGAACTACCAGTTCGAGCGCGGGGCCCCCGCGAGCCAGGGCTCCCTGCTGCTGGCGTCCCTGGCGCACTTCCTGCCGGGCCTCCAGGGCTCGTGGAGGGCTCATCTGCCGCGGGCTACGAGGAGCTCGATAGCCCGGGCGCGTCGCGTGCCCTCGATGACCAGGGTGCCGCTTCCATACTTCGCGGCAGCAGCGCTGGCTGGGCTGTTGGCCATCAGCGGGCGCCGACGCATGGCGATATGGATCCTGCTTTCGTTCAGCTGCTACCTGAGGCCGTTCGAGGCGCAGGGGCTGCGAGGGGGCCCCCTCGTGCGCCCAGCGGCGCAGGCAGCGGCCTCGGCGGCTTGCTGGGCGCTGCTCCTGCACCCCACCAGCGGCGGCCGCCCAGGCAAGACTGGGTTGTACAACGAGAGTGTAGTGATAGATCTCGACCGGCAGTTGTGGCCGCTGCTCGCCGGCCTCAAGGCCGCCGTGGGCCTCGGCCAGAGCCTCTGGGATTTCACGCTGCCTGCACTGCGCGACCGCTTCAGGGAGTTCGCGGACTTGCTGCAGCTCCAGGCCCTCAACCCGACCCTCTACGCGCTGCGACACGGCGGGGCAAGCTGGGATCTGTTGGAGGGCCGGAGGACGTTGGAGCAGACCCAGAGGCACGGCCGGTGGGCCTCGCCGGGCAGCATGAAGCGTTACGCCAAGGAGGCCTACTTGCAGGATGCCATGACCAAAGTTCCCGATTGGGTCTTCGTGTTCGGCCGCTTCGTGCACGCCAACCTGCTAGAGATTGTCGAGCTGGGGCCCGCCCTCGCGCAGCGGCCGCGCCTGTGGCAGCAGCTGCCCGCGCCCGTGCAGGCGCTGATCGGAGCCTCGCTGCCATAGCTTCGCCAGCGCAAATCCAGCGTCACTTGAAGCGGCTGCTCGCTCGTGAATTGAAAGCCTCTCGCAAGCGTAGGCACGGAGTTTTCTTTGAACTTTTTGGTGGGACTGGGATGGTCGCGAAGGCCCTCAAGGCCGAGGGCTTTGGGGCCCTCAGCCTAGACCTCCTGCATGGCCCCTTTGAAGATCATCTAGACAAAACGTTTGAAATGCTCGTCTCGGGCTGGATCAAGTGCGGTCTCATCTGGGGGCTTTTTCTGGGTACCCCGTGTACGACATGGACACGGGCCCTTCGCAGACCCCTCCGAGATGTGGCCTCGCCCTTGGGGTTGCCCGATCTCAACGAAAGCGAGTCCGCTAGAGTTCGAGTAGGGAATGCGACCTTCAATTTCTCGTGCCGCATCATCTCTTTGGCCAATGATCTCGGAGTGCCTGTTCTTCTGGAGAACCCCCAGACCTCCCTGATTTGGGCGGCGCCCAGACTTGCCTGTCTTGGCGCCCTGCCCGAGTCTGAATTTGTTGTCTGCCACCAATGTCAGCACGGGGCCCGTTGGCGTAAAGCCACCAGGCTTCAGGGGTGGAACATTTCCAGTTTTGAGCCTCTCACTCGTAAATGCAATGGAAAGAATGGGATTTGCCGTCGCACAAAAGAGCACCACATTGAATTGTCGGGGACGGCGCCAGGCGGTCGCAAATGGACCAGCCTGGCTGCAGCGTACCCCCCGCCCTTCGCTCGTGCTGCCGCCGCCGTCCTCGCCCATTCCTCGGAGCAAAGGCATGGATTACGCCTCGGTGAGATACTGTGCCCGTAGGTTCTCTGTTTTCTCTTTTCAGTGGAAGCCCCATGGGGCTCCGGCCTAGCGGCCAATCTGCCCGTTTGGGAATCGGGATCTGTGCTGGCTGATGTCTCAGCGGGGCTCGGCACCGTGCCCCGAACTCGTGGCCTGTGGGGGCCTCTCGAGCGCGCACACAGGAAAGGTGTATCAATACAGCTGACGCTGCTTGGCCGCCTAGAAGCGCCTGTACTTGCTGGTAGATTTAACATCGTGAAGCGAGGGGGGGAGCGGGCAGGCGGCCGCACCGCGTTCTGCGCGGCCGTACTGCTCAAGCTCCGACCCTCCCATCCCAACCCTTCTCTCTCGGTCCACTCTTGTATATTACCTGTTGTGGGATCTGTGCTGGCTGATGTCTCAGCGGGGCTCGGCACCGTGCCCCGAACTCGTGGCCTGCGGGGGCCTCTCGAGCGCGCACGCAGGAAAGGTGTATCAATACAGCTGACGCTGCTTGGCCGCCTAGAAGCGTCTGTACTTGCTATATATATATAGATGTATATATATATATAAATCAGAGGTTGGGAGGTGAGATCGCAGTGGACCGGAGACCCCCAATCGGGAAATCGTTGCGTTTCGTTCGTGTCGCGCGCGCGGGCGGGGCGAAGTTGCGCGGGCGCGCGAGAGGAATGAACCCGCCATTGCAAGGGCGAAGTCAAGACAAATGATTCTCCCCCGTCCGTCCGTCCGGCGGTGGCCCTAGCGGTGTCCCGTGGTGTCCTATGGTGTCCGCCATTGCTAGGGCGAAGTCAAGACAAATGATTCTCCCCCGTCCGTCCGTCCGGACGTGGCCCGCGGTGTCCCGCGGTGTCCCGTGGTGTCCCGTGGTGTCCCGTGGTGTCCCGTGATGTCCCGTTGAGTGAGATCGATAGTGAGATCAGATCGATAGTGAGATCGATATTGACATCGATACAGGCATCGATACTGAGATCGATGTTGTGCCCCGAGGTGTCCCGTGGTGTCCCGCGGTGTCTCAAAAAGTGAGATCGATAGTGAGATCGATAGTGAGATCGACAAGTGTCCCGCGGTGTCCCGAGGTGTCCCGTGGTGTCCTGTTGAGTAAGATCGATAGTGAGATCGATAGTGAGATCGATGTGGTGTCCCGAGGTGTCCCGTGGTGTCCTATGGTGTGCCGTTGAGTGAGACGATAGTGATATCGATAGTGAGACCGATAGTGAGATCGAGAGGTGCCCCGCGGTGTCCCGTGGTATCCCGTGGTGGCCCGTGGTGTCCCGTTGGGTAAGATCGATAGTGAGATCGATAGTGAGATCGACAAGTGTCCCGCGGTGTGCCCGTGGTGTCCCGTGGTGTCCCGTTGAGTAGGATCGATAGTTTGATCGATCGTGCGATCGACAAGTGTCCCGTGGTGTCTCGTGGTGCCCCGTTGAGTGAGATCGATAGTGAGATCGATTGAGTCAGATGTTGGTTCCCCCCCTCTCCCCCCCCCCACAACCTCCTTATCACCCGAAGGGTGGTCGTATAGCTATATATAACATATAGGTGTTTAAATTTATACCATCCATCCATACAGTGCAGACGCGGAAATAAGGACCACATTGAGTTCAGGGGGGGGTGCTGGTTTTCGGACCTTTCCTTAGATCTAGGTCATGGAGCCTAGTCATGGCCGCGGCTCGCCTTGGCCAGGATAGCCCCTTCGTTCCTCGTTTGCCCTTCCTAATGCCAGCACGATGACTGTAGCCATCGTCTGCCGAGGTCCCCGCAAGCCGATCCCACGGGCGGTGGCAATAGATAGAATCCCGCCTCGCAATCCTACCCCCCTCTTCGGCGCAGCCCCCTGGAGGTCCGAGGTTCTCGCGGGTCTCTGGAGTCTCACCCTGCATCGGGGTGCTCTCGTAGCATCTGCGCCTCGCCGAGGGCGTGCCGGATACGAGGTCTGACCCGAAGGCCACAGCTCCGACGCGCTGTGGACAGAACGGCAACGGAAGGTTTTCGCTCGCGTCCGGCCGCCAGGGGCCTCTTGTCAGTTCCGGCTCGGGGTGAGACTGGTCTTAAGTCGGGCTTGTCCCTCTGCAGGTGGAACGTTCAAACATAGCAAAGAATTGTCTGGGGACGATGTTCGATCATGTTTTCTAACTATTTGGTATGTTATTTTGCTATTTCTGGCTCTTCGTCCAAAATCCGCCTGGGGGGGGAACATGCCCGATCCAGGACTGGTCCCTGGGCAGAGTTCCCGACCTCCGGGGGTCCAGGCCGTGCAGGATCGGGATGTCGGAGGTCTGGGCCCTCCCCGGTCCCCCCCGGGAGAGGCCAGGACCCCAGGTAAGGGGACCCCGTTAGTGGTAGGGCCCCGGAGCCTCTGAATTGGCCATCTAGCTGGTTTGCCATATCTGGTAGGGACCCGGAGTGGTAGGGCTCCGATTCACTAAACCAGGTTTGCCATAGCTTGTGTTTTTTCGGGTGACGGCAGTTCCGGTTAGTGGAAATGGGACGGGGGGCGCCCCCCCGGTACAGATCACTAAACCAGGTTCCATTAAACCCAGTTCTACCAATTTCCGAGTCGGGGCGAGGGGGAGGACGGACGGAGAGGGGGGGAGGAGACAAGCCAGGTGCGCTCGCGTCACATCTGACCCTACGCCTCCCTCCCATCCCGTACCAGGGCGTGGATCTCGTCTCTATTCGCACAGTCGGATGTCACAGCAGGGCATAGCATTCCATAGCATGGTGCTGAAGATAAACGCTCGTTGAAGGGAGAGGGGGAGGAGAGAAGTCCTTTGGGGGTCCTCTCGGGGAGGGCGTCTTGGGGCCCTCTTGGGCCCGTGGCGCTCTCTACGGTTTGGGTAATTCCGGTCGTGCGCTGGCGTCCCTAGCTGGAAGTCGTGCGGCAACATGGAGACCTCGAGCGGCCAGGAAATTGAGGGACCTCCTAGTAGGCAGTCCAAGATGGACGGGATTGGTGAGACAAGCGACGCAAAACAAGATATTCCTCACGTCACACAAGGCAGCAGTCCAGCAGGACATGTCACCCTTGCTCTCTAATTTGGCCTGCGGATATCTCAGTAGAGTTCTCGTCCTACTTGGGCGCGTCCTCATCACTGTTTGCCTCCTTTTTCTGCCGTGCTGCTCGTCGCACCCCTGTGAGCCTCCTTCGAACTACGAACCTAAGATGCAGGTCAGACCTCACCATCCTGGGGGGGGGGCCTCCGACCTGCGCAGCTGTCGACACTTTCGAGGGCTGCTGGGGGGTCCAGCACCGTTGCATCCTGCGCAGGCTGCAATTCGACCTCACCATCCCTGGGGGGCTGTGAACTGCGAAGCTGTCACCTTTTTCGAGGGCTGCTGGAGGGTCCAGCCCACCCACGTCCTGCGCAGATTCAGGGCTGCTGGAGGTCCAGCGAAGTTACATCCTACGCAGGCTGAAATTCAACCTCACTATCTCTAGCGGGGCTGCGAACTGCGAAACGGTCGCCAGTTCCGATGGCTGTTTGGGGGGCCAGCACAGTCACGACCTACGTAGATTCATATTCGACCTCACCATCTCCTCGGGGTGCTGCCAACAGCGGAACTGTCGCCTCTTTCGAGGGCTGCTGGGAGGTCCAGTGCAGTGACGCCTTACGAAAATGTAGGTTAGATCTCACCATCCTGGGGGGGGCTGCTTCTGCGAATTGCGAAACCGTGACCCCCTTTGAGGGTTGCTGAGGGGTCCAGCATGTTGACGTCCTACGCAGAAACCTGTTCGACCTCGCCGTCCCCGGGGGGCTGCGAACAGCGAAGCCGTCACCACCTTCGAGGGCCGCTGGGGGGTCCAGCACGCCCACGTCCTGCGCAGATTCAGGCTCGACCTCGCCACCCCCTGGGGGGGGGGGAGTGCTGCGAACCGCCGAGCTGGCGCCACTCGAGGGCTGCTCTGGGGCGTCCTGCACAGCTACGTCCCGGGCAGGCTGAGATTCGACCGGACCACCTTTGGGGGGGGGGGGATTGCGAGCTGCGAGGCGCTCACCGCTCTCGGGTGCTGCTTGGGGGGTCCAGCAGAGTGACGAGCTGCGAAGATGCAGGTTAGACCCCAGCATCCTTCTCCCTCCTCCTCCTCCCTCCTCCTCCTCCTCCTCCTCCTCCTCCTCCTCCTCCTCCTCCTCCCTCCTCCTCCTCCTCCTCCTCCTCCTCCTCCTCCTCCTCATCCTCCTCCTCCTCCTCCTCCTCCTCCTCCCCCCCCCTCCTCCCCCGCCTCCCCCGCCTCCCCCGCCTCCCCCTCCTCCCCTTCCTCCCCCTCCTCCCCCTCCTCTTCCCCCTCCTGGGAACTGCGAACTGCGGAGGTGTCGCCACCTTCGAGGGCTGCTGGGGGGGGTCCAACATGGTGGCGTCCTGCGCAGCTTTCGGTCTGCAGTGTGTTCCTCTCCCTTGGGCGCGCGGAGACTTGGCGGGCCTCTTCCTCGCACACTGCTGCTGTCGCGTGTACCCGCTCGGCCCTTTTCCCATCCTCCTTCCCCTGTTTTTTCCAACCCCCTATTCAAGGGGAACAAAAAGTGGCATAAACATAAAAACTCGGAGGTCCGCGCGGAGTTCTCGCATCGGCGCTGGGGCCCCCCGGCGGCGCCTCCGGCGCCGCCCCTGGCGCGCTCCGCGCGCCTCCGAGGGGGGTCCAGCGCCGATCCGAGAAATCCGCGCGGTCCTCCGAGTTGTTATGTTTATGACACTTGTTGTTCCCCTATATTCCCCTCGAGCCTGGGGGCTCAGTCCTCGTCCTTCTGCTGCTGTCCTGTGAGTCGTGCATCCTGCGGGCTTCCCATCTAGCTTGCGCGGCCACTGACATCCTGTGCTGTCATCAGCCATCCTATTCTGGACCGGCTCCTCTTGTCACTTCGTGCAAATGGGTCGGGTACGTCGCAGGGCAACCTGGTTGGAATGTCAAAAAATGAGGGCCCCATTTGGCGAGATGAGCGCTTTTTGTCCTCAAACTTACCCAGGTGCTCGCGGCACGTTCCCCCAGCTGAAGGCTCTGGCTTGAGATTTTCCGAAGGAGCACAGGAGGCCGTCACGAGGATCACCGTTTGGTCCCCAGGTTCGGGGGAGCTTGGATGATGATGAGGACAAGGAGGAGGGCGAGGGGAGGAGGAGGAGAAGCAGGAGCATGACCAGGAAGATGAGGATCGTGGATGTGGTGGTGATGTTGGTGATGGTGCTGTTGAAGGTGATGATGCGGACGGGGATGAAGATGCGGATGAAGACGATGATAATGAAGCAATTGCTGATGATGCTTGTAGTGGTGGGGGCAGGTGGAGGAGGAGGAGGAGGAGAAGGAGGAAGAGGAAGGTCGTCACATTCGACACAGTTCGTTTCCACTATGTAGGGAGCTCGAATGGAACTCGTTTTGGCCGCATTGTGGCTGTCTTTGCCTCTTGTGAGTTAGTCGTGTGGGTCATTTAGGGCGCACTTGGGCCGTTATGTGGGGTTACTAGGCCGTCTTGGGGCTCTCTTAGGCCGTCTTGGGGCCTTCTTAGCAGAATGGTAGGTGTCGGGGGGGCAGCTTTGGCGCCGTCTTGGGCAGTCGAAGGGAATTCAAAGTTCACCTTGGGTCCCAAGGGAGGCCCCCTTAGGCCATCCAGGGGCCGTAAGGGCCCTCGTAGGGTCCTGTTGGGTCATCTGTGGATCCTCGTGGGGTTCTCTTGGGCCGTCCCATACCATCGTGGAGGCTTCTCGGGCCGTCTTGAGCTGACGGAAACCCGAAAAGGCGCAAACATTCAAGGGACATCAGTGAGTTTAGCTTCTTCGGGCCCTGTTGGAGGTCATCTTGGGGCCCTGTGGGTGATCCGTCCTGAGGTCACATTCGGCCGCCTTGGGGCCATGTTTTCCCGTTTTCGAGGTATCGTGGGTTTTTTTGGTTGCCTTGGTTGCCTGCATCTGCCGTCTTGGAAGCTCGGGACGCGGACGCACTATTGTGTGAGGGATCTGTAGAAACGTGACCTTTGGAGCACCGGGGATGCATGCGCCTGTCTGCGAGTAGAGGGGCGGGGCCTTACCCTTGCTAGAGGACAGACACCCTGCAGAACAGCACCTTGCATTCTAACACGCCCACATCGTGTGGGCATGGTGGCGGTTCAAATTCCTGCGAGCTCGTCGATTGACAGTGACATGCCTATACCTCGAATGCGACCAAGCGGTTAACAGATGCCCGGAGGGGGTCGCAGCGCCCCCGGTGGGACGTGGACAATTGCAATCATATTCCCATTTCGTCTTCGCCGCCGTTGAGGCCGAGGCCGCAAGGACGCTGCCAGCGACCCAGACGAGAAACGTGTTTCGTGCGTCATCGTCCCTGCCCGATTGTTGTGTTACACCGATGTTTCGAGTACGTATTGCATTGTTGCCGACGCTACCAGTGTTAAGTCGGGCCCGTCCCTCCACAGGAGGGATGTTTAAAATAGTCAGAACATAGGCTGGGGACAATTTGTGGGCTATGTTTGAGCCTTTTGGGAGGGCGTATTTTTCGACTTAATCTTCCGCCCAAAAATTCGTCTGTAGGGGGACGCGCTCGACCTAGTACCAGGAGGAGGGAGGAGGGAGGAGGGAGGAGGGAGGAGGGAGGAGGGAGGAGGGAGGAGGAGGAGGAGGAGGAGGAGGAGGGAGGAGGGGCAGTGCTGCCAGCGCTGGCACCCCGCGCGTGCAGGCCTCGCCATGGAGTTCGACATGGGCGGCCCCAAGGCCGCCGTCCCCAAGGCGCTGTTCCCCCTCCTCGTCCTCCTCCTCCTCCTCCTCCTCCTCCTCCTCCTCCTCCCCCCTCCTCCTCCTCCTCTCCTCCCCCCCTCCTCCTCCTTCTCCTCCTCCTCCTCCTCCTCCCTCCTCCTCCTCCTCCTCCTCCTCCTCCTCCTCCTCCTCCTCCTCCTCCTCCTCCTCCTCCTCCTCCTCCTCTCGCTCCTCTTCGGGTGCAGCTCCTGGGAGGTCAAGTTCCGATTTTGCCCCGGTCCGAAGTCCGGCGCGAGCCCGCTCAATCTGGCTTGATCCCACTGGATCCCGCTTGATCCGGTTTGATCCCGCTGAATCCGAGGCCGACTCCGGCGTAAGAGCCCCCAAATGGGGCTTAATCCTCCCTAATCCTTCCGACGAAGACCTCCAAGTCGTTGCCTCCTAACTCTTCCCAAGGCCTCAGAGCAGCAAGCGGTATTGATAGCGGGAGAACAGAAAACAGCGAGCCCGGGCATCGGATGTCGAGAGAGCATCGGGTCTCGAGAGACGGGGGTCAGTGCAAACGGGGACGGTCAGCCAGAGCGCCCGACCTTGCAGGATTCTACAGGGCCAGGGTCGCATTGACGCGGGTTTGGGTGCAGGATCCTGCAGGATCTTGCAGGATCCTTTGCATTGACCCGGGTTTGGGTGCAGGATCTTCCAGGATCTTGCAGCTTTCTGCAAGTCCTGATTTACCCGGGTCTGGATTGACCCGGGTAAGAAGATCCCCGAGAGCAGCGCTGTTTGTTGAAACATGGAGGCCGCTGGACACGCGAGCCGTCCGTGCACGGAAGTTGTCTAGACGCTTGGACCGACACTTGCGCGAACCAGCACGAGTGATGTTCTGACTACTCCTTCTCACGTGCAGCGTTGGTCGCAGCGCAGAGAATGCAGTTCCGCCCGGTCAGACCCGAGCGCAACGGCGTCGAAGCAGAAACGCAGACATAGCCATGGGCTCTCGGAGCTTCGCGCGGACTCCTGGTGGGTCAGCGCCGGCCCCCGCCACCCCCCCGGCGGCGCTTCTGGCGCCGATCGAGGAACTTCGCGCGGAGCTCCGACACGTACGATGCTATGCAGTTGTTGGTTCGTCTAGGCAATGATACGTTCGGAGATTTCCTGGGTTCACGAGGTATCCCGATCTTCCATAAGTCAGAGCGTGAATTACCTACCCCGCTTTCGCTTCCAGACAAAACCAAGCCATACCACGCGCCTCCTGGTCAAGCGACCTGACTGGTGCGGGCCGTGGCCTGGTATCGTTTGGTATCTTTTGGAAGCGAGGGTGGTCAAAAGCGAGGTAGGTTCGTATGCCTCCCAAGAAGGGCTGCAGGCGCGGATGCCGCAGGATGCTCCAACATTCCTGCAGTGCATCCTGGGCCAGTGGCGGCGCGGCATCGCTCTCGGCCAAAGTCCTCCTTGGCTCCCCTCGGTCGTGCTCCTCCTCCCCCCGCGCTCCCTCCCTGCCTGCCACCGGCAGCGGCATCCCCATTCCTCCTCCTCCTCGTCCACCCAGTATTTTTGGCCACGGTGTCTCGCCGCATGATTGCATCATCATCGCCCTCCTCCTCATCATCATCATCATCATCATCATCATCATCATCATCATCATCATCATCATCGTCATCGTCATCGTCATCGTCATCGTCATCGTCATCGTCATCATCATCGCCCTCATCATCATCATCATCATCATCATCATAATCATCAGCAGCATCATCATCATCAGCAGCATTATCATCATCGTCATCATCATCATCGTCATCATCATCATCGTCAGCAGCATCACCCTCCTCATCATCAGCATCAGCAGCATCAGTATCATCATCATCCTCATCATCGGTAGCACCATCATCACCATCATCTCCATCATCAACATGAGCAGCACCATCACCCTCATTCTCATATTCATTACCATCATCCCCATCACCGTCACCAATCACCATCAACATCCACCACCTCTCCGTCGTGGTCCTGCTCGCTTGGCGGCTGCCGCAGCCGCTGCTGGCTCTTCCTCAACCTCTTTGTCGTCATCCTTCTCATCCCCGTCCCCGTCTGTCGTGTCGGACGAAGGAGGGTATTGGGACATGACGGGGCACGATACCTGCTGCATGCAATTTGTTTCGGCCTCGGCCTGTCCGAGAAGGGAGGGGGAGGGAGGCACCCTCTCGCCTTGGAGGAGTTGTTCAAGCCTGCTCTGAAGACAAGGACGGCGTCTCAGAAGGCGCGAGGGCCTCTGAGGTGTCCCGCCGCCTTCTGGGACGGCCCGTCCCCTCTCGCTTCCCGGAGCTCCGCCGAGTTGAGCAGTGCTCCAGTCTCCCCTGAGCCAAGCGCCCCCCCCCCCAAGAGTATCAGCAAGACATGTCGTCGTCGTCGTCGTCGTCGTCGTCGTCGTCGTCGTCGTCGTCGTCGTCGTCTTCGTCGTCGTCGTCGTCGTCGTCGTCGTCGTCGTCATGGTCGTCGTCATGGGCGTCGTCGTCGTCGTGGTCGTCGTCGTCGTCGTCGTCGTCGTCGTCGTCGAGGCCGAGGCCGCCGGGGCCCCCGCCCGCCGCGAGGCCCTGGCCGAGCGCCTCTCCCGCAAGAGCTCCGGCCCGAGGAGGTCGGGCGGCAAGGCCGGGGGCCCCCCGCGCACGGCCGCCATCTTCCCCTCCTTCACTCCCTCCCTCCTCCTCCCTCCTCCTCCTCCCCCTCCTCCCTCCTCCTCCTCCTCCTCCTCCCTCTTCCTCCTCCTCCCTCCTCCTGCTCCTCCTCCTCCTCCTCCTCCTCCTCCTCCTCCTCCTCCTCCTCCTCCTCCTCCTCCTCCTCCTCCTCCTCCTCCAGGCTGCCATTTGGGCCCACGCGCGCGGGGGCGCGCGGCGGGCGCATCCATCTGGCCCCAGCCTGCAGCCCGACGGCGGGCGCAGGCGCAGCGGTGGCGGCGGGCGCCCCCAGCAGACGGGCTCCGTCGCCAGCCTGGCATCGCCGCCTGCGCAGGCGCCGCGCCAGTGCGCGACAGACCCTGCGTGAGGCCGCGGCAAGGCGGCTCCTGCAGACACACCACGGCAGTGCGCCGCCCGAGGAGCCGCTGGTGCAGATGCATGGCGAAGTGTGGCCATGCAAAGCGTCAAAGGCCTGCGGGTTCCGCAACAACTACTCGAGCAGGACTACGTGCAGCTGCTGGGCGTGTGGCAGGGACAGGGACGGCAGGCCCTCGACCGCCCCCCAGCGAACGCCCAGTCGCAGCAGGAGGCCTCCTTCGCGCGGCGCCGAGGCGCCCTGGCGCGAGCGTGCTGATCCTGCTCCTGCTGCTCCTCAAGGTGCTGGCGACGCAGTGGCACAGCAGTCCCCAGCAGTCAAGTCCAAGCGTGCATGGCTGGCCTTACGACGGATCTATGGTGACGAGCACGACCTGGTCATCGCCGCCAAGGCCGCCCACGACAAGGAGGAGTCCGCCCTACGTGCCCAGATGGACCCCTCCGACCTGCTCAAGAGCGCCAAAGACAGGTGGGCTGCAAAGGAGTCGGAGCGCGCGGCCAAGGCCGCTCAGGTCGAGCAGTTGTCCAAGGAGCTCGCCGGCGCTCAGCAGCAACTCGCCAGACTCGAGGCCGAAGCGGCCAGCCTCAGTGCGGAGGTCGCCCACGCACAGGCTGCAGTGGCGGCCATGGCAGCTGACGGGACCCCCGCGATGGCCAACGTCTCGGTGGCCATCCAGCAGCTTCAAGCGGTTCTGGTCTCAGCGCGTGCAGGCACGACGAACATGGGCGGCGCCCAGCTCCTCAGCACCATCGAGCAGCAGGTCTCCAACGTCGGCTCCCTCGCGACAGGAGCTTCGCCGCCGAGGGCAGCTGCTCCGCCGCCTCAGCAATCTGCCGCTTTTCGCCCCCCAGTCCCAGCTCCACCAGCATGTCTCGGCACCCAGATGCCCGTCGAAGCTGCAGCATGGGAGAACGCGGGCGATGACAGCTAGGAGGGCCCCAAGAGGCTCCAAGCGCAAAGATATTGCAGTGGCTACCTTCAACGGCTCTTGTTGGGATTCGTGCAAGGCCTTTTTGGTGGAAGGTACGACAGGGGTCAATATTGTATGCGCTCAGGAGTTGAGACTCGATGGGGAGCGCTTGGCGCAGGCGCAGTCTTGGGCTCGACGCAACGGCTGGCAGGCCTTCCTCACGTCCTGCCGCAGATTACCTACTGGCATGCCTAGTGCAGGTGCAGGGGTATTTGTGCGCTCTCACTTACCTGCCACCGTCGTCGAGGGACCTGATGGCAAAGCAACCCATGACATAACACCAGCCTGGGCAGTGGTCGTACACGTTGATGTGGGACTTACTGGAGGTTTGCTGGTGGGATCTGTATACATGGAATATGCGCACACGACTGCTTACCTCACAGCCAACTACTATCGATGCTTAAGCTTGGCTCAGTTTCTCAGATACATGAACGAGCCCTTCATCATCGCGGGGGACTGGAACATCAACCCCCAGGACTACCAGCAGATGGGCTTGCCTGAAGTACTTCCTGCCGCTCTTCTCTACACCAAGGAGGAGGGCACTTGTCGCACCCCGAAGGGCGACTACCACAACATCGACTACTTCATCACGTCTCCTGGCCTTGATGCGGTATGCAGATCGCCAATCACGATGGCGACGTGGCCAGCACGGCCTCACAAGCCAGTCATCACCTACATCAAGGCCAAGCCGGAGGTCACGCAGATCCTCAGCATCAGAGCCCCGAGGGCACTGCCCAAAGGGCCCCCTGCCACGGAGGGCTGCCATCCTCTACATGGGCCGATCCCCACGCCAGACTACCTGGACATTGTGGATAAGGATGCGCAGCGCGCCCCCCCAGCATCCAAAGAGGAGGCGACCGGCCGCGTGGATGCCTTATACGGCCAGTTCATTTCGCATGTCGAGAACGAGCTCATCGGCATCTACCAGGTGGACGATCCAGATGCTCATCGAGGTCGCGAAGATGGGGCCCAATACACCTGGCGCCCGATCGGTGGTCCCAAGACTGGTCCACACCCTGCTGGAAGCAGCGAACCACGATTTCTTCGCGCGGTGGGCCAGGCGCTTCTCGACCTAGTCGCAGATTTCTTCGTTGATTTCGGCGTCACCACGCTGCAGCAGCTGGTGGATGCTCGCCCCTGCCCTACCACGACAGGGCAAACAACTGCAGATGGCGGTCTAAATCGTGACCCTCAGCCTTCACATTCGTCCCCGATGACGGACGTGGCACATTTGGTCCCACAGGTGGATCTGGGCGTGTGGAAGCGCCTGGCCGTCCCTGGCGAGATGGGAAGACCGCCCCCCCCTGAAGACAGGGAGCAGGACGACTCCGAGGAGGAGTTCAGGGAGGCAATAGCAGCAGGTGCTACCCGATGGATGCCTGACCTGTCGGACGCTGAATCGGGAAGTCGCTCATGGGGAGGATGGTGCGTCCCTTTCGTGATGGAGTGCTTGCGCCTACCTCAACATGCTACGTGGGTAGCAGCCGCACTCGCGGAAGGCAGTTTCAACTCCATACGAGAGCTCGCCGATGACATCTGCAATGACGCATGGGGCCGCCCCTCCGAGAACCGTGCTGACATCATCTCCTACTTGGATTGGCTGGCCGTACACGACATACCACTTTGGCGACGCCTGATCAGCCAGCACTGGGACGAGCTCGAGGAGATCAGGAGCAAGATGAGAAGATTACTGGGCGACAGGAGGATGCCTGACCACCTGCGATACTACGACGACCAGCAGAGCGCCTACGAGGGGGAGTCTCTCTCCCATAAGTTTCAGGCCCTGCCTCCCTGTGATGTCGCCACGCCCTTTGCTAGGAGAGTGCGCCAGAAGGTCTCCCAGGATCCCGGGCCGCCTCAGTCGTCTGATCCTGGCCTGGCTTTGACACCAAAAGGACTTACTGGTGGCGTCGTGCTTTCGGGTTCCAGGGGTCCCCAGGGGACGTTCGGAGGACAGAATAATCTGGCGAAGAGCGCGTCCAACATATCGGCTCGCACTGTCTCATCACCGCGACGCCGAACACGCTGGACCAATCTCGCCAGGCTGCTTCGCCCTGGACATAGGCAGGACGTCCGCACCGCCGAGGGCAAGCGGTACTTCGACGGCGCCTGGGACATCATCCACCTAGCCTGCAAGCAGCCTCCCCTGCAGTGTCGCTTATGCCTCCAGGCCTTCGCCAACATCATTATGCAGCACGTCGACCAGCTCGACAGACAACAAGGCTGGCATAGAGTTCGCAAGTTCAAGTCATGGGCACGTGACGCGATGGTCACTGGCCCCGCGCAGGTCTACTCGATCACCAGAGTGCAGCCGTGGGCCCATACGCAGATCACGCAGGGGAAGATCTCGACGTCGCACCCGCAGGCGATCGCAGACAGCCAGATGGACAGCTGGAGAAAGATTTGGGAGGGAGATCGCCGCGATGATGGAGACCTTCCTCGATCGCTCGCCGATCATGAAGACATGGACCTCGTGGCAGCTATTCGCCATCTTCCCCCTGCGGTCCTGCCAGTACCGACTATTGCACAGACGAGAAGGGCAGCAACAAAATTCAGGTGGCGCACTGGACTTGGAGCTGATGCACTTCCCCCGCGGGCCCTCTCCTTGGTATCGGACGCAGCTTTAGCCATGCTGATATACATATACTGGGCTGCCGAAGCTTGGATGCGCTGGCCGGCGGTCATGCTCAACGTCCATATCATGCTCCTTGCCAAGCCACAAGGAGGGTTTCGGCCGATTGCCCTCCTACCAGCGACGTATCGCATCTACACGGAGCTCAGACTGGCTCAAGTTCGGAGTTGGATATCGCAGAACACCAGACCTTATTTTGCATTGGGCACCCACAAATGTACACTCGATGTGGGAGCACGCACCATGATTTACGCTGAGGCCTATGCCCGCGATAAGCAAAGGGCCACCACCACGACGCTTGTGGATATCAGCAAGTGCTTCGACCGAGTTTGTTGGCGACGTGTGCTGCAGGCTGCAGAACACTACGGATTTCCAACACAGATCCTGCAGCTTTGTCTGGCAATGTACTACGCCCCGAGGCGAATCAAGTGGACCACTTCTTTCTCCTACTCGTGCCAAGTCAATAGGGGAGTGCTCCCAGGATGCTCGATGGCCATGTTCTTACTGCAGTTGGTCATGATGCTGCCTTTCGACGTATTCGAGAAATCCTTTGCCAACACCGACGAGGTACACCATTCGCTGGATATCTACGCCGATGACATCAAAATCCAGGTGGTGGCCTCGAGGCAGGATATTGTACACCAGACGGTGCGCATTCTGAAAAGCTCGCAGCAGTTCTCAAGGCTCTTGATCTGCCTATTGCGCAGGACAAGGCGAAAGTGCTGGCCTCAGATTTTGGCATCGCACAGCAGGTGGCGCAGCAGGTTCATCGGCACGGTTTTCGGCCTTACAGGACTCTGGATGTCCTCGGCATGGAGGCCAAAGGCGGACACAGACTGAGCTTCGAAACGATTCGCAAGAGGGTGCGCAAGATGAAGATGAGGCTCCCGCGTTTCAAGAGGCTCAGTGGTCTGGCCAAAATCGGACGAGCGGTGGCCCAGCCATGTATTGCCCCCGCCATGCAGTACGGCATCCAGATCGTCGGCGCCACCAAG